TTTTTTTTTTTGGCTCGAAAATATAAACAACTTGTTACGAACCTACTCAGCCTGATTTCTCATCAGTTACCAAATATATAAGTGGGTTATAAACGTATATGTTTAGCACCTGCTCCAATGATCCTTTTTCATGACTAACTGTGTTTTGACGAATCATGTCAAATTCTATCGAATTTACTTGTAGGTGGCTGTTCTTCGTTCTGGTCAACCTGTGTTAGGGCTGGGGAACAGAAGGTGTAAAGATGATGAAAAACTGATAAATGCTGCTCTAAAAGAGAAGAAAAAAGGAATAATTGTTGACACAAGAAGCCAGGCAGCGACAATCAATAGCAGAAGTAAAGGTAATTTATTTAGAAATTTCTTTCTTGAAAAAGTATAGATTTATGACTTAAGACACAAAATTTTACAGCGCAAGGTGCAAAAGTATGACCAGTGACAATGTATTCGCATACTTTTATGCAAGGCTTTTGTTCATTAAACTGACGCATTTGGATGCGAAGCTGTCAGTTTTAGCAAATAAGGCTTGTAAAAGCTTGCTTGGCAGCTTATTTGCACTTTGCACTGTAATGGACAGATCTAAGTGATACATTTTAGGATTGATTGTTTTTGTTGCCAAATTAAAGGTGGTGGAATTGAGCCTGAATCAAATTACCCACAGTGGAAAAGAGTCAACCACAACATTGAGAAATATTCAGCTCTAAACGACAGCATTGCAAAACTTGTTGAAGGTAAACTTGATATAAAATTGTAGACATAACTTGTATTTTCATATTTTATTCAACGAATAAAAAGCTTCATAGATATTGAAATTTGATCATAAAACATTGCATCATTAACTTTTTAAAATTGTACACGTTTTTGGAATGGCTTCTCAAACAAATTTATTAAAAATTTAATTACCACCTCGTGGTTTTAGGCCCGATACACCACCATCTGCGAGTTTATTAAAGTGTATATCAAGGGGAAAAAATTATTTTCCAAAATACTTATATTTGAACAGTGTAGTAGTATAGTTGCAGTATTTTTGTATGTGGACTTCTATTTTCAGAGATACAAACATTTAGATATCAATATGTAAATGAAATGACGTAAATTCAAGACTGGGTTACATCAGCAGTACTTTCCACGAAATCATTTTTGTATAACAAATTAGTCCTGAATTTACGTCATCTCCTTTGCATATTTATATTTCAGATGTTTATATCTCCTAAAAGGAAAATTCCCCTACAAAAAATACTGCAACCATACTACTACACTATTCATATATAAGTGATTTTGAAAGAAAAATTTTTTTTATGGTATACACTTTAACTGTTTCAAAAACTTAGGTATAATTCAAAAACCTTTGTTTGAATTAGAGCGACCATATACGTCGGGAGCATGGACTTTTGCACTTTGATAGATGTTTGTACATCAATGTCATGCGCAATGAAGTTTGTACGTCACTGCCATGTGTAGTGAGTTCAAAAAAGGCTGCCGCAACTGAAGTAAGCATGCCTAACTCAAGACATAAATTTTAATAACAATAATGTAATAATAATAATAAGTTTGTAAATCATTAAAAAAATAATAATAATAATAAAAGAATATTTACATTATGTACT